GGGATTGCTGGGTCGTAGGGAAGCTCCATGTTAGCAGTTTGAGGAACCTCCAGTTTTCCATAGTGGTTGTACTAGTTTGCATTCCCACCAGGGGTGCAGGAGAGTTCCTTTTTCTCCACATCCAGCCAACATTTGTTGTTGCTAGTTGTTTGAAGATGTGCCATTCTCACTAGGGTGAGGTAGTATCTCATTGTGGATAGCCACAGTTTTTTAGAGATCACAGAGATCAATTTTACTGAAATAATAGTCTTATACATCTAAAATGTCATTTCAACACGTGGCCTGTGTCTACCATGTTGACAGCACACGGTTAGAGAGGCAAACCAGTTCATAAGGAGGGTGGTGGTAAGCTGTAATGATAACAGAGCAGTAAGATACTGAGGAGGAAGAAGAGCTGGCTCTTTCTTTAGCAAGGAGGTTCCCCTTAAAGATACTATTTGGACTGAGAAGGAACCAGTAAAGAATTTCTGGCAGAGGGAGTGGTGAGTGCAAAAGCCTAGAGCCATTTTTACAAGAGAAGCCCAGGAGCAGGAAGTAGGAGCATGGGGTTTTGTCTTTGGGATGTGGGCCCAGGGAGCGTGTTAAGTGGAGGTGGGCCTCTTGTTTCTCCATCCTCCATAGGCTGGATACCGTATACCAGGTTGCCATCTGGCAGAAAAACTTCAAGAGAATTGTGAGTGCCCCTCATGGGATGAAAGAGTTGGGGTGGGTCGACCCAACCATGCTTTCTCTAGACGTCACAGCTTGTGCCCCTTGTTCACTCACGGGTTTTTACCACTTTCCTGAGTACCCACTATGCACTGAACATTGTACACGAGACAGGCAAGATCCTGCCCTTGAGAAATTAAGTCTAGTTGGAGACATGAATGTGGATCACATAGCCATGCCTGTACGTGTGTGAGTAGGGAAGTAGTCCCAGAGAAAGGGGCATTTTAACCTTGAGTGTGCAGAAGGAGCTAACTAGGTCAGGGGGGATACAGCATTTGCAGAGACCACCTAGCAGGAACCAGCAGAGATTCCGTAGGAGCTCTGATCTGGATCTTATGTCAAGAGCAATGAAGAAGCAGTGCTCAATCAGGCTCTCTGCTTTCTATCTTCCCTTATTAGGAGTATGGCAAGACCTCCATCTATACCCTCCCCGACTCCCCATTACCTTAGGAACAAAGTCCTAAGCATCAGAAACCCTCTAGCTCTGGCTTTTCATACAAAACCGAGCTCCTACCCTGTGCCAGTCAGCAGTCTCTGCCTTTCTGAAGCTAATGTGGAGTGGAGGAGCAAACTCTTGTTTCCTTGTCCTGGCCTCCCTCCCACGGCCCTGTGTGCCCGACCCTGTAAGCCCTGCTCTCCAGCTGCTGGCCCGCTGCTGTTTTTCCTGAGCCTGCCACCTTTTGAACTGCAGTAACATCTGCCTCCTGAGCCTCACACCCTCCTTACTTTGCACCCACAGAGTTACGCTAAGACCAAGACTAGAGCTGAGGTGCGGGGTGGTGGCCGGAAGCCCTGGCAGCAAAAAGGCAGTGGACGTGCGAGGCATGGCAGCATCCGCTCCCCAATCTGGCGAGGAGGTAAGTGGGATAAGGTGTTTGGGGGACCCCACCAGGGTCTGGGCATTTCTTGGGACACACTTGCCCACACTGGTGTGCTGCCTCATCAGTTTTGTTTCTTCCACTTCGTTAGCCCTTCTGGGTAGGACAGCTCTGGTCTCATCACACTGGTCACAGTCCCTTTTGGCTCCATTTCCTATCTCACTTCTCCTGACCTATACTTCACCACAGCACCCAGAAGGAGCTTCCCGAACCTCCCAACTTGGGTAGCCTCTGTGTAGAGTATGAATTCCTTCCCTTGGTATTTTGGCCTGGTGGCTGCAGACTCCAGTCCCTTGTCCCCTCCATGTTCTCTGTTACCAAACAGAACACACTCAGAGTTGTCTCCCTTTCTTCTTGTCACCTCCTCATCTTTCTACTGTGTGGAGGTCAGACATTCTCCAGAGGCCTTTCCCAACCTCTTTTGGGTACGGCATCCCCCCATATTCCTTGTGCTGCCCCACACAGCCCTGATTCCCTCTGTAGCAAAGCGTCTGCCTGAATGTAAATGACGTCTAAGGACAGGGATTTTGTGTCACGCTTGACCTCTGGTGCTCCTGATACACATTCTGCTCGCCCCATTGCAGCGCATACCAGATCCTATTTCCCCTGTAGACACGGAGCTTTTAACTTTCTGTCATTGCTGCATTAATGTTGATGCTTTTTGGTTAAGCTCTCACTGGGTTCTTTCCATGTTCTGTACTGTAACTCATGGTCTCTTGTGAGTTAGGAATTGTCAGGTCTTGGGTTTGGCAGCTGAGGAAATGGAGCTGCAGTGAGGTGAAATCTCCTGTCCCCGGTGGCGCTGGACCTACCCTTCCCTCAACCTTAGCTAAGACCTTCCCCCCTTGTTAGAGTTCAGCCCGGCTACTGGCACCCACCCCTCCCTCACTCCCATATGAGCCAGTAGCATCAGCTTCTGCCCCCAGGCCCACTGAGGCCTGCACCTACTCACTTCTGACCCTACAGGAGGCATTGCCCACGGCCCTCGGGGCCCCACGAGCTACTACTACATGCTGCCCATGAAGGTGCGAGTGCAGGGCCTCAAGGCGGTACTGACCATTAAACTCTTCCAGGTATGGCTCTGATCCCGCTGGGAGCCCCTGGGGTCCTGGGGAGTAAGTGTGGAAATGGGGTGCCCAGGCAGCTTCCAGGGACTACGGGAGCCTCAGTCTGTCTTACCGTCTCTCTAGGATGACCTGCATGTCGTGGACTCCCTGGAGCTGCCAACTGCAGATCCCCAGTACCTGACAGAACTGGCCCGTTACCGCCGCTGGGGGGACTCTGTGCTCCTTGTTGACTTGTGAGGAGGCTGGGCGGGGGCAGGGAAGAAGGCCAAGCTCACACTTCTGCAGGGCTCATCTCTTCATCTCCCTTACAGAACGCATGAGGACATGCCACAGAATGCTGTTTCAGCCACCTCTGGGCTCAAGACTTTCAACTTGGTACCAGCTATTGGTGAGCAAAGGGCCCCAGTTTCCACCTGTAGAGAGTAAGATGAGTTCAAACTTTGTATCTACCACCGGGTCCTCAACCCAGCCATCACTCTGCCCACAAGGAGATTCTGGAGAATAATGCCAGAGCACTTCAAGGTGATGTCTCCCTGGAGTGAGTTCAAATGCTCCTCACTGGAGAAGTAGAGAAGGAGAATCACTTCTGTCCCACACACATGATGCACATCACCTTGCTGAACAACCTCTCCTATTCTCCAGGCCTCCCGTCAGCTACGTGTGGGCTCCCACAGGAATCTAAGTACATGAGAACTCCTTCCTTCCAGTGATTCTGACGCCAAACCATGCTGTCACCCTCCACTCCACTCCAGTCTTTTTGTTTTTAAAGATTTGTTTATGCATACAGAACTGGGGTACAGGGCAGAGGTGTGGGGACAGTGAGAGGACTCCCTGGAGCTGCCAACTCACCAGAGACAGAGTGGGAAGTAGAACAGGCAGACAGAGTACACTGCTGAGGGGAGCAGCGGGCAAGACAGGCAAGACTGCTGCGTTATGTGGGTCACCTTCCTGGCCAGGGATCAAATTTGTGCTGCAGTGGCTACGGACAGCTTCATAGGGCTGTGCTTTAACCGGTTGTGCCACCAGGTAGGGCCCCCACTCCAGTCTTTTAGCTCATTCTGTCACCTCCATCTTTAAACATATAATCACAGTCCTGCTGCTACCACCTCAAATGGTCAGACCCTGCCATCTCCCATCTAGACCTGTCTGGCCATTTCCTGGTCCCCTGGCTCTCTTTGCTCCCACAGTCTGTTCCCCTTTGCCACAGCCAGAGGGCACTTGTGAGCACCTTGGCCAGGTCCATCTCTGCCTACCACCCTCCAAGACCCACATTGCTGGGGTCCCTTAGGTAAAGGCCAAGTCCTCCACAGGCTCTGCATGAGACGCTTCACCTCCCTGCGCTGCCCTGCCCCCAGCTGTAGCCACTGCCCGCCCTCAGTACACTGTATTCATCATCATCATTATTATTATTATTTATATATATTTTTTTTTTACATCATTCTTCATTTTGTGCATTTTTTTCATCTCAGTTGTAACACTGTATTTATTCTTATGTTATCTCCCCCACTGGAGTGTAAGGTAGGTATTACGCCCAAGCACAGAAGGGCGTATGAGCAGCTTTTGATTGAAGTTGAAGTTGATGAACTAAGAGTCTCACCCAGGGTCTCTCTGGAGGGGAGCCAAAGTTTGGACCCTGGCTGCAGGGCTTATGATTTGTGCCATTCTGGGGTATCTCGATGGGAGGGGTGGAAGCCTGCTTCCCAAAGGGTGGCAAGGGTTTCCAGACATCGGAGGCCAGGGAAGGTTAGGTCTGCCCTGACTGTCCCCTGTCCCCCAGGTCTGAACGTGCACAGCATGCTCAAGCACCAGACCCTGGTTCTGACCCTGCGCACAGTCGCCTTCCTGGAGGAGAAGCTGCTCTGGCAAGACTCACGCTACACGCCCCTGTACCCGTTCCGCCTGCCCTACCGTGACTTCCCCTGAACCCTGGCCCCGGGTGCCTCTGGGCACGTCGGCTGCTCTTCTTCCTGCACTGTACTCCATGCCAAGCACCTGCTCTGAGCCAGGCCAAGCCCCTGACTGACTTGGGTTCCTGAAGCCCACCCTTTGAGAGTGGCACTGCCAGGACCCCCTCATCGGACATACAGAGTGGCTGAGCGGGCATCATTCCTGGAAAGAGACAGTTGAGCAGAGATTACCTCATTCTTGTCCCAGTTCACCTTTGTTTTTAAGATAAATTTTATTTTTTAATCAAAATAATCAGGAGAAACAGAACAATTCCTGGCTATTTTGTGAATAATTCCATTTGGTGACTTGGGTTCATTCCTTGGTGCTGGGCACTTCTGGGTGCCTCTCCACTCAAGGGGTGACTATAATGCTATTTACAGAAAGATCTTGAACCAGTTTCCCTAGGTTGACTCAGCCAACGCACACAGAGGAGTGTAGGCGCCAGTGATCGCTAGGAGCCCCTTCCTGGCGCCTGTCTGCTCCTGGTAACTTGTCCTATTCAGGGTGTGTGTTTCCACTTGTTAAGATCATCCAGAAGCAATGTGCAGACCTGAAATTGCATCATAATCTCCCGTAAGCAGAGTTAGAAAAGCAAATATGTCAGTAAATGAGCAAATATTTTTTAAAACACCACCCCGCTATTCTAGTTCTTGAGTTGCCTAAGGTTGTTTGTCCCCGAAGTTAATTTTCACTAGTCTTAGCACAAAGATAATATGGTGAGTTTATTTAAAGTGGCCAGGATTGCTGTGGGAGTTTGTGAGCCCAACTGGCTGGGCCTCTATAGTGGTTGCCCATTGGTTGGGCCGCCTCTCAATGAAAAACATCCTTGGAATGCCTCTTGCTTGAGAGTGTCTTCTAAGCTCAGAACGCATTCTCTGAAAATCCTCAGTGGACATAAACTTTGATTTAATGAAGTTAAGAAATGGCCATTGGGAGCCAGTAGTAAAGAGTACAGAGACTGAGCAGGAAATGCAATTGGAGCTGAAGCCACGCCTTGACTGACTTCTCACTGTGCCGCTCGCCAGCCTGTGTAAAACCTACCTCACCTGGTCTAGAGAATCATAGCTACAGGTAATGGGGACCCCACTGGCTACATCACAGCTGTCAAAAAATCACAGCTGTGAGACCTGCCCATGTGGATATTTTAAAGAAATGGGTCAGAATCTATCTGTTGCCCTATACTGGCATCTGGTAGGCAGATCAAAAATGGAAGTAACCAGGGTTGGAAAGTGTGGACCTCTCGTGGGGTCCGGGACCTGGGGTCTGCCTGTGAAGGACAAACCAGAGGGATGACTGCTATGTCCAGCATGCAGTGAGTCTTTATTTCGCAGCGTGCTCTTTATATACTCCACATTATCAAGCTGTAACAATAGAGTATTGACTTAATCTGTCTAGACATTCTCAAGCAGTAACAATAGAGTATTGACTTATTCTAACTCTGCATCTGCTGCTCTAATTCTTGGGACACCCTGCCCAGCCCCAGATGGCCAAGCCCTTGCACACACCCAGGCACTTCTCTTGATATGCTCTTTTGCTATCTTAGACATGGCTGCTTGCTTGCAGGACCTATTTTCTCACATTCTTGGAGCTCAGACCTGGTACTTGAGAGCATTCCCCCAAGGCATATGTTTTCACAGGCCTTTCGGTATCCAAGTCCAGATGCCAGTCAAGGTCATGCAAGAGCTCTGCCAACGTTTCCCCCTTTTCTGTTTATTAACTCCATTAGCAGTCGGGAGGTGTCAAAGGCTCAGCCAGTCCGGCATCAGAGACAGGCATATCCTATAGCAAAAAGAACAGAGCAAATGAAAACAGCAAGTCCGCTACCAACACTAGGCGTAAGACTGAACCATTGAACGAGGATCCAAACCCTGCAGTGCATCAGCAATATTTTGAGCCAAATCATCCGATGATGACTGGGGTAGTTGTTGTGAAAAATATTGTTATCATCTGATCTTGTAATGTTTGTACAACCAAGGATAAGTTACCTTGTGCATAGTTGACATTATACTGAATTTGGGACCATTGGGTGGATACATTATGAAACTGAACAGAAGTTACACAAGTTACACAAGCTCACATTCCACTCAATGAAGCATGATTTGTTTTTGTAATTCCACAAACTGATCATCCAGCCATCGAAAAACCTGTTGCAGTTCTCCAGCCTTTTCTTCCAATTCATCAAGGTGTACTGGTTGCCATAAAAGGCAGGAATTATGGGACCAATTTGATATAAAACAAAATCATGAGTGTAGGGCAAAATGAACAGCTTGTCCTGCCACTGCTGCAGTGGTTGTGGTAGCGATTAGTCCCAGTATAGCAACTATTAGCCATCCGATAAAGCGTTTTGTGTGATGTGTCAGATGTCCAACATCCCGAAGTAAAGTTCCAGCAGTAGGAGATTTCTCCCAAGTTCTTGTAAGATTGACAGGCAGCCATATATGAGTATGAACACATAAAACAACAATAGATTGAGAAGAGTAGTTTACATACACGGAGGAGTTAAGACTACAAACGACAATCACAACAGGATATTGTTCATAATGAATGATTATTAAAAGATAATGTGTTAACTGATGCATACAGTATTCTAACACAAGCTTGAATATAAAAAGATGCATTATGTATAAAATGACAATGAAACATGGACTGTGAGGTGCCTGAAAAATTTCCTTTCCATGATTGAAGATCATGAGCTGCAGCATGAAGTTTCCACAAGTCGCACTGTTCTGGACCCCACCAGTCTTCTGGGGTCTTAGCAGTCCTCCTGTTGGTATTGCTGGAAGTTGTAGCCTCGATATCTGGAGACGGGGGTGGAGTCCACAAAACCTGTATCTGTAGAGTGTTTTCAGGACATCCTTTCCCCCCTTTTGATTTTATACCACCATATCTATGGTGGCACAGATTGTAGGGTATAGTCTTAAGAGACAGTCTTTCTGAGGTTTTTAGTGTATGCAAAAGAAGCATCAGTTGGTTACCAGCAGTGTCCATGAATGTATAGTATAACAATTACTACTGAAAAATAGTCTACTAGTACATGTGAAAAGAAAAAAAAGACTTGGTTTAAAAAACATACACACACACACACACACACACATATATATAACAGGAACAAGCAAAAATCTTTAAAAACTGGTTTAACTTTAAAAAAACTTTTTTTTTTACCTTTTGGAGGTCTCTGGAACCCTATAAACAAAGAAGTAGATTCTCTTTTTGGTTTAGCTCTATTTGAAGTTTTTGGAGATTGTCAAGCAAAGCCACTGAAACATATTTAAAAAAATTTTTTTTAGTTTAAGCAGACAAATTTTGTATTGAAGTTATGTAAAAACAGACTCATGAGTAGTAAAAATTACTACAATTTTTATACTGTGTTGGTATCAAGGAAAGAGAAGAAATGGAAACACAAATTAGCTCTGCTGAAAAAAATTGCAACTTTTTTTTTTTGTTGTTAGATTTTAAAAAATTGCAACATTATTGTAGATCCTGGTCATTTAAAGCAAGAAAACTTTTTGAATCAAACAAAGTATTATTTATTTATTGCTTTTAGCTCAAAATTGGTTGCATTTGCATTTTTTTTTTTTTGTAGGTTATTCAATGTCTGCTTAAGGAGCTCACAAGTTATTGGGAGCACATATTTGTAAAATCTCATAAATGAAAAAGATTTTCATATAAATTGATGAATAAGCATTAGCTTTATCATTATTTTAAAAAAATAATACAATAGTTTACTTTTACATCATTTTGTATATTTTTTCATCTCAGTTGTAATCGCCATAGGCTTCCCATCACCAAATCATCCATATGCTATCACCATTTTTTATGGTGTCCAGTGCACTTCTCCCCACCCCCATTTTTTATCCCATTCCCCGTTCCACTCCCATAAAATGTCTCTGGTATATTATTATTATTTTCTCCCCTGTCCATTATACTCCTGCTATGAGAGAAACCATCCGGTATTTTTCCTTTTCTTTCTGGCTTATTTCACTCAGCATGATCTTTTCCAGCTCCATCCATATTGCTGCAAAAAGCTTGTTTTTCTTTTTTTTGGTTGCTGAGTAATATCCCATTGTGTATATGTACCAAATCTTTTTAATCCAGTCATCCATTTTTTGGCATTTGGGCTGTTTCCATGTTTTTCCAATTGTAAATAAAGCAGCAATAAACATGGGGGTGCAGGTGTCTTTTTGAATCAGTGTTTTT